TACCTCAATTAATGCTGCTATCCAGTCGTTATAATTCACATTACATTTATCGCACAACTTGGCATCATGTGGAAGTCGGTGATAAACTTTTTCATCCTCTGAGCACATAATAGCAAAAGCATAACTGAAACATCCACGATTTTTTTTATCGATAATTTCTGCTATTTCTTTAAATGCCTGCACAACACACAAGGTGTGCTTTTTTGAAGGAGGCATAACTTTAACTTCAATCTCGTCACCTCTATAGGTCATTGTTATTATGTTGCTGTTATCTGTGCACTCTATATTGGTACGATTTTCATCAGTTGATGATTGAAGTTGAGCAAAACTGTGTTTCAACATAAAATTAGTAAAAGCAACTTCAAAATTGACGAAATTTATAGGACTTCTATTATTCAATAGTAGTCTGACTGCCTCCTTGTCCATGAAGCGCTCTTGCTTACGTTTTCGAGCACAAGGCATGTAATAACAAACTTCATGAGTTTCATCTTCAGCATATTTTCCACCTGGTACCACTGCTACCATGCCAACTAATGCTAAAACTGACATAAATGTCTCTCCCTGATTGGCCCCAAACATTTCTCTAGCTGTTGTTTTGGTGATGATGCCATTTTCAGTGTACATCTTAGAATTTGGAGGGTTGTCAAATGCTTTACTGAGATTAGATAAAAATTCATTAGGTTTGACAATAACAATATCGCTGGTATCATCAACAAGACTAAGGTCAAAGATGCTACCAAATGACGTGAATAGCTCACAAAACTCTTTGAAATCCTCATCATTCATATCGCATTCCTCAGCAAGCTGACGTAACTCTACCTTCCTCATAAACATGCCCTCCTTATGTTCTAGAGCACCACGTAAAAATAACCCTGAAATCGGAATACATGTTTTTCCATAAACACTACCCACTAAGTTCTTTAGAAACAGAAGAAAATAATTACCTTGAGCTTTTTTGTTGAAAGGTAAGGTTTCATCTATGAATTCTGTGACATTTAACTGTCTGGCCACTCGTTGCAATTCTTCTTCGAATGTCTTCATTTTGGTTTCGATTTCTTTATCACTATCCTCTCCACTGTGTGAAGCGAACACTGTGCACAGTCGCTATGAGTAGTAACTCCTTTACAAAGTCGCATGCAGCGAAGGAGATAATCCAATGGTTTCTGCCATATCTGAAGCTTTCCTTTTTCTTCTTCATTTACTTCTTCTATGGTCAAATCTGCAAAAAGCCACATACGACTATTAGTCAGGTGGCCACTAAATGCTCTCAAAAAGTAAAATACATTAGTGTTGAGTGTTATGTTCCAAATATTTATTAGAGCTGCACCTCTTGTTATGGTAAAAATTAAGTCTAAATTTTGTTTGTCACAAAACTGGCTGCTGTATCGATGTAAGTGAGCCAATAGTTCTTTCATGTGCTTGTTAAGTAATGCATCTTTGTAAATCAAAGGCTGTTCAGTAGGAACTTTGTATGAAATTTCTTCGGAACTTCTGGCCAATTGGCAAGATTGGACACCAAAGTTGTACAGCATTGAGGTTGAGTGCATTTCATAGTTAGACCTATTAGTAGCCAAAATATGATGAGATGAGAACCCTGCAGTGACTGGAGTCTTAAATATCTCTTGGAGTGCTTCCTTTTTGGCACTCTCTGGCAAACCAGCAGAGCAGATAAAAAGTGGAATTATTTTAACATTCCTGTTTTTCATTATACGTCTTAAAGTTACAGCATCAATAATACTATCAGCTAAAGTAAACATAAAAATATAAATTGAATGCTGCAATAAGTGAATGTACCTTCAAGCTCAGGAAGAACGGAGCTAGTGCTAGTACTTCTACCCACAGGTAATAAAGAATCGGGACCGGCGACATATTGGTATTGAGCAGGAACGGTTCCAGGGCCATCAGGTTGAGATTCTTCAACTGGTGAAAGATATTCCTCCGGATCCTCCTGTTTTGAGAAAATTGCTAAAGTGTTATCACTTGAAAAGCCTCACCATTAAAGAAGTGGTTGACTGGTTGTTGTAGTCAGACCACGCCTGGGCTGGGCTACATCACGATCACGTGAGTTGAATAATTTGAGCTGCGTGGGTTTGACTGTTTGTAGGAGATCCTGTTCCTGTATATATACCATCCAGACCTGCATTACACCTCAATTACACATTCAATTACACTCCTGTATAAATAGACTCAATTAGAATTAGATCTACAATTATACCATGTTGAAGTAATTTCAATTGAAAATAGAGCTACTAGCTTTATTTTGGTATTTTTTTGCAAGAAACAGAAACATGGCTTTTTTTTGAAAAATGGCAGTTCATCTGTCATAAAAAAGTAATAAAATATTGCATCACTTCTCATGTTCATTTGATTCTAATTACTTATGTACTTATCACTATAAATGCTTAGTCTGGC